ACCTTCATCCGTTTACTACCTACGGATTATACTATACTCTATTGCATTTAGCTGAGGTACAACTGCACCTGACTAATAAAACTCAAACCACGCACGCGGGCAACAACTACCTTAAGAAAGAAAAGAAGAAAAATTAACTAGCTCAACCCTGTTGGCTCGCTATTTCCTTCGCTAGCGAGTTCCGTGATCTATATTTCGTACGACCTTAAACCCGCAGCGGAGGGATCCTTCCACCATCTTACCTTCTTACGTTACTAGCCCCCCGTTCCTCCCCCAGGCTTTCCAGGTCCCAGACCCCAAAAGCTCCAAGCCCCAAAACTACCACTTCCTAGTTTCTAAGAACATCACGTTTTTTTCCTTATACTAGCGAACTTGGTCTCCCTTTTTCTATCTTACTTCGTGCGGCGCCACTGCCATACAATAGCGGAATGGTCCATTGACAGAAAAAGGCAAACCCCACCATTTGGGTATATGTGTGCGCGTGAAAGTGAAAGATACGAAAGCATCCACAAAATTTAAGAGCACGTTCTCGTCCATGGAGACCTAGAACCTTTACGTCGAGCATTGGGTTGCCCGCCATCGTAGAGTTTCGTCTTCCTTTCTAGCTCGAGGCTCTTAACACACAACTTGTGCTCATAAGGTTTACGGTTACTATTCTTATTCTTGTCTTTTTTATCCTTATTATAATTATTTATCACTTATCGTTATTACCGTCATAACCGTTCCGGCTCCCCGACCACCACCGTCCGTCATGGTGACCCTCCTCAACAGCAACGGACCCGATCCGTTGCCGGCGCCCAAGCAGATTCGCTTCGTCAATAACCAGGGCCAACCACCAACCAAGAGGAGAAGGATAAACGCTGCGTAAGTATCGTTGAATTCCTTTGTCCGATCTGGGAGGACTCGAGGGGAGGGACTGAACCGTAGATTACGCCCGGGGTAATTGACGACTCTTTTCTTTTGGTTCCTTTTCTTATGTTCTTCGTCATGATCCTCACAGGAATCCCGCAGGCCCGCTGCCAATTCAGTCCCGACTTCAGGAGTTGCGACATCGCGAACGTCTCAGCTGACACCCGTTTCTTGATGGCAGATGCCTCACTTGCCGCAGGCGAAAAACGAGGTGCGCCGGCGAACATCCTACCTGTTCGACATGCACCAAGAATGGACACGACTGCCTAGGGTATTCGGATGGCATCGAGAAGAGCGGCAAGAAGGATAGTGGTCCCGATGAAGACGAATACGCCGACGAAGACTTGGAACTCGATCGCAAGCAGTGGAAAAATAACCGAAGCGGAATTAAGCAGTTCGATATACCCGATGATTCTCCCAAATCTTCTCGCCGCGCTTCTGAACCTGCGCAGGATTCCGTAAACCCTGATGTACAAATGAAATCGGAAAACATAGACTGGGAAGAGCCAAGTTCGCAACCAACACCGCGCCCCGAACCCATGGGTCGACCGCCGAATCCGCGGAATCCCTCCTTCTCGACCGAAGGTGGCTTTAGCGAGGCTGGCCATTCGCCAGTCCAATTCCACAATGAGGGCCACCGAGTGCCTTACTTTCGCTACTTTGGCCCTACCGCTATAGTACCGGGCTTTAAGCAGATGGTAGTCAAAGTACGGGATCGAAGGCGAAGCTCCATATCGGCTACTTCGCCTAGCGGCGCGAGTTCGACGTTCTCCGGTATCATGAATTCCATACAGCCAGACGTTGAACTCGCCCACTTAGACGATATGCCTGTCTACGATCCCAACGACACAAACGACGTACCTCCGCTGATCCTCCACCTCGTCGAGACGTTCTTCCTTCACTTGGGGAGTAATTACCCTTTTCTGCGGCGCGATAAGTTTCCCAGATTAGTTCAAGAGAAGCGAGTAGAACCGATATTAGTAGACACCGTATGTGCTCTTGCAGCACGGTTTTCCGACCACCCGCTGTTCCGGAAATGGAACGAAGGGAAGTTGGTCAAATCGGAGTACGGCTACATATATGCTCAGCGAGCCAAGGCGGCTACCGTCGATACCTTCCCGTGCCCGACAGTCGCTGCTGTCCAAGCGTGCCTATTGATGGCGTATGACGGTTTCGGTGCCGACCAGGATAGCGCCCTATGGATGTATTTGGGAATAGCAATTCGTATGGCGATCGACTTAGGTCTATGTAAGGAGGATGGCGTGCGATATCAGGGTGAGAAAGATGCTTGGTACGCGCGGGGTTATAGCAGGAAGTCGAGCGACGATTATTCCCAGCAGAACCAGCAGAGCGCAGACGGTACCGTCCTCAGTCCAGAAGAACAAAAGGAAGTTGAACAGGAACGTATCGACACATTTTGGGCCGTCTTCTTCCTCGACCGTGCCATCTCCTCCGGCACCGGTCGACCAGTTTCCCTTCGAGACAACGACTTCGATTTGCAGCTTCCAAGGTCCTCCGTTGATCCCATCTCCGGCTGGCCCGACCCGAATGCGTCGCTGCTGCAGATTATTAATCTTTACGGTCGTGTCTCAGACGTGCTCAATAATATTTCGCATGCTCAAGATCTCACGCAAGACAAGATGAACAAGCTTGCCCAAATGGAAATCGAGCTCACAAGACTTCATCAGAGGACGGACCCGCGCCTCCGGTTTGATGCTAACAATTTCCAAGCTCACGTAAAGAATGGTCAAGGCACGACTTTCATTCTCCTGCACTTCTGGTTCCACGCGTTGATCATCGTCCTGCATCAGCCAACGTTGTTAACGAAGGAGGGTACTATCAACCGGGCGCACCAGTTAAAGACGCATAGTCGAGAATTATCCATGTCCAGTGCGAAGACGATCGCCGACATCCTTGCCTTCGCCGAACTAGTCGATCCGAAGTGCTTCATCGGTAACCCCTTTACTTCTCAACCTATCTATATTGCAGCATGCGCGTTTCTTAGGGAGTCGAGAGCCAGTTCGTCGCAGCCCGGTTCGAGGGATACAACTCCGCCCCCCGAATCCAGAGGTCAGACAAATAAGAGCGGCTCAGCTGTGATCGACCCGGGTCCAGCTTCCAGGCATCTACTCCTAGCCTCCGCTGCGAACCAGAACTACCAAGCGTGCTACAAAGCCTTGAAGCAGATGCACACGTACTGGGGAGGTGTCCGATATATCCTCACTGCCCTGGACCAGAAGTTGGACGGCCAATGGGATTGCGAGACATATACAATCGAAGAATACGAGAGTGCCAGGCGATACCGCCAGTCCTGCGTCCTCAGCAGGTTTGCAAAACAAATAGACTATCCCGCGTCGCCAATTCCCGATAACGGACCTCCGCTCGCATGGTCATTGACGGGTACGACGAACTCTCCTAACTCGAGCTTGACGCTTCTATTCCAGAACCCGGTCAATCATAGTGGCATCATGCCCTCGCAGGTCATCTCGACGACCGCCCCCACATCCGCCGCGCCAACCTCTGCACCTACGCCGCCTGGAAACATGATTTACGACCCTATACGTCAGAGCCTCCCCGAGACTACCACGTCTATTTACCACGCCGCTTATCCCCAGCCGAACACGTCAGCATTGCGGCACTCGATTAGCCATCCTCGCCGGGTTTCGGGCGGCGCATCGGCTCAAAACAAGTCCTCGTATCTGAGATACGAGAGCCTATCTGGTCAAGACGACCCTAGCAAGGTCTCCATGAGCATTCCGCCGACGTTGTATACGCCATCGTCGCAGCAGTCAACGAGCTACGATCAATCGGGAACTAGCAGCTACCCTACCAACGACTCGCCAGCCAGTAGCACGCCGAGCCAGAACAACATCGGAGGGCAGTCGTCGAACGCATCGGAGGGCGGGCCGTCCAACTTCGCGCAGAGCGGTAGCGGGCTCGCGTCCAGCGGATACTCGTACCTAGGGCCTGGCGGGGCATCGAACCTACACCTGCTAACCTACGACAATGAGACGGATATCGGGCAGCATCTCACGAGTTTCGAGAGCACCGAGATGTTAAGCTGGTTCGGTGACTACTTCCCGGGCGATAGCACATGGCTATTTCCGGGAGACTCGACGATGCCATGACGTTTCTAATTGTAACTACATGCAGCAAGCTGGCGCTGCAGGTGCTATACGCCAGGAAGACAGGGGGTAGGTCGTGGAGTTCGGAGATAGGATGGATGCGGAGGGCTCACATTTATATACCTGATGCATGTCTAACCCCATTTATCCTCTCCCTATCTATTACCTATCTACCCGTCCACATATTTCCTCGCACTTTTTCGTGTTTCGTGTTCTGTTATTATGCGTTATCTTTATATAAGCCTTGTGGAATATATCGTAACGGGAGATGTGGGATCGGGCCCGTCGTTTATTTCGGGAGGCAAAAGCGAACTTTTAGATACCACTGCCCTTTTCCTATTTTATTCACTACCTAGACCATTTTCATTCCCGTCATGGGTATTTATTTCTCAGGTATTTTCATCCTCTGGTGAATCCGAGCTCGCGGGTTGAGGGTACATATACTGTAGAAGGAGAGGAGGCTTCAGGGCGAGGAGAGATCATGAAATTGTGTTCGGTCGAATGGGGCGGATTCGCTCGTCGGATAGTGTTAGGTGTACACATAGCCATGACTGGGAGTACGAGATGATCAGATGGTCATGTTCTGGGGAAAGGCAAAGAGTATATGAGAACGAGGTGGAGTTATGACATAAGAACATGAGAGGCTGTCTCGAACGCAAAAATAGGTAATCTTGTAAGCTCTTATGAATAGCTCCACGAGGTAATTTGTACATGATGACGATCTATGCGATGAGATATATAACTGTATATAAAACTATGAAATATTCCTCGTATATACGAACTACCGACTTTTAATTCCATATTATATGATTTCACACCGCAGATACGCATATTACCTTGGGCTATCTCGGACATGTGAACGTTGGCAGAACTGAGAGTGCGGCAGTTCGAAGCAAGGGGTAGAAGATGCTCCTCAGCCGCATAGGGAATGATCCACTGCTTTGCATCGACTACCCCTGACTAGATGACATCAACGAACGGCGACCGCTGGCTTTGACGTAATTGTGCAGCCGTAGAGGGAGGCGGACTTTGGTTATTAAACGGCCATAGATCACAGGCGATCCTACACTTTTCTCTTTTTCGATCTAATACCATTGTATCCCATTTGCAAAGTTAGCAGTATCACAAGAACATTAATGAAATAATCCGCATATCGCATTGAAGGGATAAGCATAAGGCGTGTTTATATAAGTCCCTACAAATACAAAGAGAGAAGAAAATGGCACCATCCAAGACCCCTGGCCAGAACAACGCTGCGAGCGAGACCTTCAAGAAGAAGCAAGCTCAGGGTATGTTCTAATTTACTTGATAGATGGCCCATCAAGTTCTCCGTTGCGTCCGATGCCAAAATAGCGTTGCTGAGCTGCCTTTGCATTCCCACTTCGCTTTCCCTCTAGGAATTTACGGGAAACTAATAGGTATAAACCAACAGCTCAAGGGTTAGGTGCGCCTAACGCACACGCGCATAAAGAGGGACACGTCCCTGGTGAAGCCCCCGTAGCCTCAGACTCGGGTGTCACCGACGTCGGCATCGAGGGTGGTAGCACCAACGTGCCTGGCGAGAAGGGTATTAGTGGACCGCGTGTACGAGACGAGCTGGACCATCAAGGGAATTCGATGGTTTAGCCAAGTTCTGCTCGGTATGTTGTATGGCCATGCTGAGATTTGATGTACACAAGGCGAAGTATATGAGGGTTTGAAAGGAGGAAAGGCTCAGGTACCGAGATGATTTAATGAAGAATACAATTGGTACTGCGGATATAGATAAGGAGTATCTAGTTCTCAAGAGAGGTAAACTTAGACCCTACAATATGATGGCTCGGTTAACACCGTTTATTCACATGGGCCTCGCAGTTTGAAGTACTCCTTAAGCTCACGTAGAGTTTGAACATTGAATTCCCCTTCGTAGAACTATAAATATCCACTAATCATCTCCCTTATCAAAAGAAGTCGTCCTTCGCGTGCCCGACTATACATATTCACATATGCCCGCATATTATATCTTAGGCCAGACGGGCTCTTTGCATTGTCCCTGTCTCTCCACCCAAGCGCGAATCCGTTCGATCTTCCAGCCACTAATCCACCTCTCTTCCTCGTTATCCACCTTCGGGGCTGGCTTACCAAGTCGGAAGGATTTGTTGTATGCGCAGGCTCCCGCACGGTACGAGAACTGGAAGCAGTTATGGTTACTGTCGCATAGCTTACGGCAGTGTTCGAATGACTTGTGCGCATCTAGCTCGACGGCCGCGGCACGGATCTGCTGGTGTGGCTTCTTAGCACTATCCCGCTGCCACTTCGGATAGCGTCCGCTGTGCTCCGGGTCCAGGTATAACACATCCTCGCTCAAGTTATCCCAGTCGTCGCGCTTGGTCATGAGCTTTGGCGCGACGAACTCGTGGTATATGTCCTTGAACCGTATGATAGGACGAGGCACGCCTCGGGACTGGTAGAATCGCTGCTCGAAATCCTAGAACGAGGAGATCTCTTCAGAGTCCATATGGTGCATAGTTACGAGAGGGTGGCACCATTCGCGGGGCCCGTAAGGGATAGTATACGGCTTCTCACCGTTTATCGTCGGCCACTATGACTGTGTTAGGTAACCTTTTGTGGTTTGTCAAAGTAGGTATTTGATAGTTTAGAGATTCTTACAGCTTGCTCGACTCCAATGCCGAGTGTTTCGTTCAAGGCGAGACTCAACACGTAATCCCCGCAGCAAGACATTCTAGCCTTCGTATCGTATTGATTAGCTATGCCGGGGTGATTTCTGGCAAGATCCCTCATCGTTGCTCGTGATAGGATGTATCCACTACCGCCGTGCGCGAAGGTAAAGTCGTTCAAAAGCGCTATGCTGCCAACATAGTGCTTCTTGGAAGGATCCCCAAGCTTTCGTAGCCAGTGGGCGAGATTATTCCAGAGCACATACGTATCGGCGTCGATGAACAGGTACCAATCATAATTGGGGCGTAAGTGATAAGTCTTTTCAGCAATATGAACATTCTTGTATTTATCTAGCCTCCATCCCTCGAACTTTAGGTTTCGTTCGCTGTTTAAGTTACAACTCTGCTGGTCGACAGCACAAGCTTTCTGCCTGTGGTAGAGGTCGAAGTCATAGTTCCTCTCTTTGGCTTGATCGAGTACAGAATTCAAACTGTCACGAACGTGATACCCAGCGATATTCTGTTCCATGTCGGAGAATATCAGGAAGTCTGGAAGACATCTTAATATGGTGATGAGTTGCGTAGGGATCTTAGAATATGACTCTGTGGCACCGGTCTTGACAACGACGAGGATATCAGACGTGTTGGGGAAATATTTGCATGATGGCTCGTAAGGTCTCACGCGAGGCGACGTCGTCAAGCCGGTAGAATTAGTAGTGCCAACAGAACTGGACAGGTTGGTACGGTTTGGGTTGTAGTCGAGTGGAAAAGATGACATTCCGAGCGAGGAACTGTGAAGCGACCACTTGGTGAGGCGCGTCGAGGTGATTAAGATAGCGATTAGGCACACGATGGCCAGAACGAACTTTCGATAATATCGTAAGATTGTCATATTTGCCGATTTGGGTTTATGTAAATGTAAATTCTTATTATTGAAAAGTCAATGGTTGCATAAGTGAAAGAATGGATGTGCTTCAACTCAAGGGGTAGGTCTACGAAGTAGCGAGGAAATAAGAAGACATCTAGGCAGCGACTAGAGCTTTCCGTGCTTTTTTTATAGCTATGAGAAAGAGCATAGCCATGAGATGAGCAAGATGCTCTTGCTCATGACATGAAGTAAGTTGTTAATGTACTTCCATCTCTTCAATCATTATATAAGAGGTACGTACTATTCATTTAGTTACCCCAGCTAAAATACAGTGCATGCACAGTAGCTAAAACCCACGTCTGGGGTAAGGGCGGGGCGGGGGGTTACAGTTGGGGTAATACACGCTACTGCAATCAATGTTGCAGTACGAAGTACCTCGGCTCCTTAGCGCTTAAGAAATACAAATACGTCAAACTCGGCTCCTAAAGCTTCGAGCGAGAATGGCGAAGCGGGCAAAGCATCTCAACGCTGAAAGAGGATGCTAATATTGCGTCTATGTTCAATTCCCTCGTTGCGAGCTAGATAATTACGTTGCCAGTCCCTAAGCACCTAACCATGTCCGACACTGCGAAACAAAGGATCCAGGCCCTGGGAAACCAAATCTCCGCCTCCTCCTCCTCCTCCTCCGATGCTCTCCCAGCAATCAAGAAGCCCGCCGGCAAATCTGCAGGCCCCCGTGCTCAAGGAAAAGTAGTCATAATTACGGGGGCAAACTCCGTGCTAGGAATTGGCCGTGCGAGCGCTCACCAGTTCGCCGAGAACGGTGCTAAAGCCGTTTATATCTGCGACTTCGACGACAAGTACCTAGCGGCGCACAAACGCGAGATCGAGGCTTTATACCCTGGCGTCGACGTCCACGCGCGCAAGTTTGACGCCGCAGATGAGGCGGCTGTTAAGGAAGTCGTGGATCATGCGTTAAAGACGTACGGCAGGCTGGACGTATTCTTCGCGAACGCGGGTGTTGTTGGTCGCTATGCGCTGTTCTCGGATGTCAGCAAGGACGAATTTATGCGCGTCTTCGATACCAACGTGGCTAGGTTTGTTCACTCTCTACTATAATTATAAATGAGCTGGCTATATAGCCATATTAGTATACGTGATAGACGTGCTCACATCCGTAAACTCGCAGCGTGTTCCTCGCCGCCAAGTACGCCGCACCCGCCATGCAGAAGACCTCGCCCTCGAAGCCGGCGCCATCGGGAAGCATCATCGGCACGGCATCAGTGGCTGGACTGCGGTCTAATGCGGGCACGACGCCATACGCAGCGTCCAAGGCGGCTGTGATCTCGCTAGCCCAGACCATCGCCTATCAATTAGCCGGCACAGGCATCCGCGTCAACGCTATCTGTCCCGGGCTGATCGAGACGGGGATGACGAGCCAGACGTTCGAAGCTGCGCGAGCTCGTGGCACCGAGAAAAAGATCGGTCAGTTGAACCCTCTAAAGCGAGGCGGTACCGCCGACGAGATCGCCCGCGTCGCTCTCTTCCTCGGTAGTGATGAGTCTAGCTACGTAAACGGCCAAGCGTGGGCTGTCGATGGTGGGCTCAGCGCTGGACATCCATTTGTACCCGGAAAATTGGCTTGATAAATAAGTAGGTATCTTGTGTAGACAGTTACGTGTTCAGGGGGCGAAAACATGTACGCATATATGTTCGGACATATTTTCTATAGGAATTTCGAGGCTGAAAGGGTATCTACCTAGGTTATAACAAGAACAAGAGAAAGTCGACCAAAATAAAAATGCGTAAAACATATCTCAACCCTAACCGCATGGTTACAGAGGAATGTTGTGCCATGCTATGTCACCCCGTCCGCACCAGTTCAAGCTTACCACCCCAGTGCTCCTCCGTGCCCTTCGTTCGGATACGGTACTCTTTTATAGCCCCTGCTACGTCTCTAAACCCGATAGAACTATTTGCTGCTTCTCGGATGGCGCTGCTCTTAGGTATTATCATGGCCTCCCACGCCGCGTAAAAGATATAAGTCATCGGCGGCACCCCGGCAGCAACATGGTTCGGCGTCGCGGGCCCGATGTCCGTACGGAGATTTGGGTCTTGCACGTTCCACATGTACTTGTTGACGGCGGCGTGCGGGCTGATATGTCCTGGTCCGATCCAAACGGGGACCGAGTAGAAGTTCCCGCTCCATGAATCGGCCGCGTCTACATGACAAGTCATGTATTCAGAGCTGACGTCCGAGTAAGGGGGCGACCTCAATCGCCCTGAAGTCCACCGCGGGTAATCATCTGGACTGGCGGGTACTTTGCTTGGCCGTACTTGTGTTTTCTTCGGTACACTTCTTGATGTAATCCCAAACGACACATCGTCGTCGAAGAAGCTCGACGTACTCTCTTGACTAAAGCCTTCTTCAGCGGGATCGAGAAGCTTATCAAAGTCTACGTCGCTACTTGTTGATATGACGTTACTGCTGTCTGAGAAGTTGGGTTCCAGCTCAAGTCGTATATGTCGGAGTCCCTTTAGAACCGATGAGCCACGGCCGTGGAATAAAGCCTCGGCGTGCCCGATAGCCTTCTGTTGCACGCATGCGAGATCCAGAAACCGAATCAGTTGTTCAATTACTGGGCCTGTGGAACGCGCTGGGATATTGGTGAGCGTTAGAGAGGTAATGCGAGGGTTCGTGTCAGGAGCTAAGGCCAGAGGATAGGCGCGACGGATACTTTCAAATAACTGGCCTTCTGCAAGATGTGCGGCATGTTTGGATGGAAGCCCTTCTATAGAAATTGATGGGACTTGGGTTACGAGAGAATGATGAACTCGCAGAGACCGGATTGCTGAGGAAATAACCGGTCGGAATAGGGGCGCGGAGCCTGGGAAGCCTAGGAGTCTTAGGCTCTTGAGGTTTTGGCCTGTTGGAAAATTGGTTGGTGTGCAAAGACACGAGTCACATTCGAAATGTTCGAGTCGCCCTCGAGATGTTCTTATAAGTCGTTCAATGCCAGAGACCGTAAACTTGTTCCCGTTTAAATATAGATGGGTGAGGCCAGAGCCCCTGGAATCCAAGCTGCCCGCTGTAGCCGATAAAGATTCACTAAGCAGCAATCGCTTCGCCGTATTCACATCATCGTGTCTTAGAGGTGCGAGGCCGTCGGGGCGAATAGCTTGCCATTCCTGTAGCCCTGTCTGGTCCGCTCTTTGAGAATAACAGGGAGAATCTGAAAGATATCTCTCTAAGTCTCGTTCGTGTTTACTTCTCTCGGACTCTTCGATGAATTCGAAAGGTCCATATTTTCGACCGCCGATGTCCTCCGGTAGGATTAATCTCCCCTCGGTATCAAAGTGTGCGTCCGTATGGAATGTAGAAGGAGAGATACAATGCTCTACAAGGTCATCGATTATTCCATCTCCGAGCTTGTTATTGCTTAGATCGAGACTCCATAACTGGCGACCAAATGTTCGAAATAGCAAGCTGGCGGTTGGATTGTCCATTTCTCTACCTGCAACTCTCAATACACGGAGTTCTGGAAGCGTATCGGGGTTTAGAGATGACAAGACTGCCGTCTTAACAGAACCTGGGGTAAAGGACATGTCCAAGTAGACCAAGCTCCCGAATAGGTCGGAACTGAAGAATTTAGGCGTAAGCTCATAAGGGCAGCGAGCCAGGTCGAGTAGCTGTAAAGACTGTGACGATGTGCGAGCAACGGTAGCTAAAGACTCGGGATTAAGCTCGGGGTGCCCATCCACGAAGAGGCATATAAGACCTGGAAACAGCTGGGGCAGATACTTGAAACTTTCCGAGATGGCTCGTTCGCTGGCTTCTGAGGAATAGAGCCCGGATGCACGTAGTGCGAAGCTCCGAAAGTCCAACGAGCGAACGTAATACCGAGTTTCGAGCCTAGCAGCTTTGATGTGTCTATTGACGAAACGACGATACCACGCCAAGTCTGAGAATACAGTATCAATATACAAGATGCATAGGTAGTTATATATGATGAGGCAAGCAGAGAAAAGAAGATAGAAAACTCCAGACTCACCGTCATTCGGATGTAGCCCAAGGCATCTTATAGTCACCAGAGGATCTTGCCAGAGACGGGGCGCAAACTGGCGATAAAATCGACGGTCTACCAAGCAGCATCGAGGCCAATCTTTCACCGGAATATATGATGCGACTAAATCCAACAAGTCCGGAGCGGTGGTTGCGCGTCCGTATGACGGAAGAGTCTCCATGATGATAAATCAAGCATGGACAAATGAGACATGGCAACAAAAGGGCTTTGGGTTTGGATTTATAGAGATGAACTCAAATAGAGAACAGACATATTATAATGTGGCGAATAGTTTGCCATTCAACAGATTGATCATTCATCCCCAGCTTGCACCGCCACAACACCACCAACTTGGCAGGCATTATGCTGCAACGGGTACACTCATCATCGGAGATATAGTACCACGCCGAATATATTAGTATTTTATCGGCTCCAAGTGAAGAGGTTGTTGATATCGTAGCTGCATAAAGAGCAACAAATACACGAATTTCTTCTAGTCTACGCTATCGACAAGTAAAAGTACTTAATATAGAAACTGCCTGCGTAACGGATTGAAGTGGATTAAGCATTCATCATACTTACGGCTAGCCTATATGATGAACTTACACCCCTTCGTGTGAGCTAGGCACGGCACTACCCATCTCCCCAGTATCCCCCTGGTATCAAGAGTCAGTTATCATTGCACACTTCAACTCTTTCCCGCGTCCTCCTTTAATGCCACTATTCTGTTGAGAATAATACGATCGTCGGTCGAGTCAGAGTCCATCGCGAAGTATGCGATGCGCATCGCTTGGAAACGGACGCTCTCGGGTCCTCCCTTACCAAGCTCGCTTTCGCCTGCTGCTTCTGGCCACGGCGCCCTCCTCCTAACTTCATCGAACCCAGACTCGACTAACGCGTTCGGGTAGATTACCTCGCTATCCGGGTTGATATCGTTTAGGAATCCTCCTGGTGCCTCATTGGGGTTGTCGGACTTGAACAGCGAGTTGTAGATTCTGACTTCCGCTTTTCGAGTACCAGCCGCCTCGGTCGGAACCCATTGGATATACGCCTTTGGCTTCTTCGTCTCCTTGTCAAATACTGCCCGAATTTCGGTAACTTTTCCTGTTGCGTCGTCTTTGGTGAACGACACTGCCTTTATCGGATGCGGTACTTGAAGAAGTCCGACAGTCTGGATCTCGAGTCAGCATCGGTACACTTCTGCGGAGACTTGGAATAGCTTCTCACCTTTCCGGGAGCAAGGCGGAAGAATGATGGATCTGCGTCCTCTCTGAAATCTGAGCGGTCGATGTAAATAGTCTTGCTAAATGTGACATCGTGGGAGCCCATCTTAGGGTCTTTTGGACTAAATGGAAACGCAAGACTCTTCCCGTCGAGGTCGTCGGCATCTTCGATGACTACAGGGATGGGATCTAGAATAAGCATCAACCGCGGCACCGTTCGTTCCAGGTACTTCCTGATAGCTTGGTCGAAGCGCTTGATTTCAATGACGGAGTTTGCAGTTGTCACGCCAAGCTCGTTGACGAATTCTAGAATAGCGCCAGGTGGAACACCTCTTCGCTTGATGCCGATTAACGTATAAAGGCGAGGATCATTCCACCCTCGTACAATCTTCTCTGCTACGAGCTTCAGGATTTTGCGCTTCGAGAGGATCGTGCCAGAAATTGACAGTCTACCGTATTCTCTGTGGATATGTTAGCAAGTTTCCCGAGACAGAAAACGCTTAAACGAAAAGGTCTCTTGAATAAAACTCACCTTTGCATCGGCTCGTATACTCCAAGGGTCTTATTTAGCCATTCGTAGCTGACTCGGCTTTGAACTTCATTCGTAATTGTTAGTGGTAGGTAAATTAAAATGTTAAGAAGCACCAAGTAGATAGCTAAGACCTCAACATTCGTCGCGCGCGAGGTTACGTACCAAATTCCGTAGTGCATAGGGAATGGGTCTAGGTAGTATATAAGCAATTGAAATCGGCTAATGACATTTACGTATGGATACTCACGATTCCCTCAAATGAATCGCACAGACAGTGTGTAAAGTCGTAAGTTGGGTAGATCTTCCAGGTATCTCCGGTGCGATAATGCGGTTTCTTCAGGCCGAGAGTCAGTAATCGTGGCTAATGCCTAGAAAGATGAAACTTACATCAAGGACTCGGTAAGCTGCTAAGTCCCACATCTGCGGGTTGCCATCCGTGATGCTGTAGTATGTCAGCTACCATACGTGTCGGCACTATGCTCTTGATGATTATCTCACTCTAGAAAGACGTCAGCACGATCCGAGACTAATATTCCTCGTAACTAGCAGACGAACCTTGCTTCATCCTGAGGAAGGCCTCCTGAGGCTTGTACTGTCCATCTCTCATGCCCCTAAACTTCTTCAGATTCTCCTCGACGGGTTGCTCGGCATGCTTGCAACGGTAACGCGGACCAGCAGTTCCCTTTTCGCCTCCGCGCTGGAGTTTAATCTCGGTGTCGCTACACTGGCACACGTAGGCTTTTTCGAGTCCTATCAGCTTCTCGGCGAGGTCGTAAAGTTTCTGGAAGTTGTCGGACGAGTAGGTAATCTTGTAGGGCTTGAAGCCGAGCCATTCTACCATCTCGAGAATAGCATCGAAGTAGACCTGCTCCTCGGCCTCCGGATTGGTGTCATCGTAACTATCGATCGATCGAGGTAAGCCACGGAGCGATATTCCTCAATTTCGACATCTTTGCTCTCTTACCGAAGATAGCACTCGCCCCCGTGGTATCTAGCAAAACCAAAGTTCACCGCGATGGCCTTTGCGTGTCCTATATGGAGAAACCCGTTCGGCTCGGGAGGGAAACGGGTGAAAACGGGTTTCATAGGTCTGATCTTGAAGACCTCGTCAAGAAAGCCGGTCTTGAACATATTATTGGGATCGATTGCTGGTTCTTCTACGGTCGCTTTGGGCTTCGGTGCCGGTTTAGATTTCTCCTCGCTCTTCACCTCGCTCCTTGCGGCTTCCTTAGCCTTTGCCTTTTCACGCTTCTTTAATCGTTTCTTCAATTCTGCCTTGGAGACCATCTCCCCCGTCTCCTCGTCGAGCTGCAGCTTAGCAGTGCTTTCTGCTAGGTCCGCCATGATTTCGACTACTTGATCCTCGCGGGAATGATTTCGATAATGCGACTGCGAAATTGTGTTGGGTTTAGTTTAGGTAGACTTTAAATTCTTGATCGATCAGCTTGAAGAGTCATTCTGCCCCTCGTCTAAAAGGTACCTCCTTATGAGTCGACGGGTGAAGCAAATAATCCCGATAAGATAAGCCCCTCTTAAGTGGGTACTGATAGGTACTTAATCGATCTAGTACTAAATCAAGAGTGGCTTGCTCTGATTGGCGGATAGCATGAAAGATGGACTTTTTCGGCAGGTACTTCCATAAGTTTATTTTCTATCCATCGCTCGGATTTGTCTGTTTAGCCTAACACATTGCCAACTTCTACTATATCGTTGAGTTAGAAACCCTCGTTCTTAAAGATCAAGGTAATCGACGGCCTTGTTGCGCCAAGCATTACCGGTAGCATTAATAAACGGGAAAGAAACAATATTCAAGAGACAATGCTACTAGAGATACGAGGCGGTTGAATTGATAGTAGGTAACACTCGCTAGTATAATGAGACTAATTGGTATTGTGTCTATTATCTTATTTGGCATGTTGACGGAGGGCTATCAACCAGACCTGCTAGCCTAGTGATCGGATTTATGTACCTATACGCTCATCTGGGAGTCAGCTAGAACATCACCTTTTGGATAATCAATCATTATCACCATCACACTTATTGCCATAAGCACTAGGCTTAGTGATATAGCGTATCCTCTAGTAACTAGTTGCCGTGGTATCACAAGTTACTAGCGAGGTCTACAATGACAAACCTGACAACCTCCCACATATAACGTAGCGCTACTAGTATAATATGCCTAACCTATCGTAACACGAGGTAGACCTATAGAACTGTCGGCTTATAAAGACTCGAGTTCGAATTTTCCCCGTAGCCAAGAAAACAATGATCTTAATCACTCTGGAATAATAGGTGGCTAGGAGGGCCTCCTTTCCCCCTATTATAGGTACCTAACTGTACCCTTGTCATAATATATTAGCCATAAAAATGATTTTATTTTTACGGTATACCAAAAACAACAACGACACGAATACTATAATTACACTGTTACTGTAGTCTATAACATTGGGGGCAACTATAACTAAGCCTTACTAGGAATTTAATTATTTTATTCAATTTAATTCCGAAGCCTAGTTACTCCTTTTATTATACTAGTCAACATTTTTGGTGTGAGCCATATCTAATAGATAGGTGTAAGTCCCAACCTCCTGAAGTACCCATCAAAGTGTCTTGACAAACTGATACTAAACTGTTTCTAGACGCCTCCATCCAATGGGTAAATATCTTAAGTATATCGGACTTGGTCAAGGTTTAGATAACGATAGGCTTTCATGGAGAACTCACTAAGTTTATGTAGGTACCGTTAGTTTTGTCTCACTAGAAGACATTCCGACTGAGGTGGAACCGTCAGTATGGTTGCATACTTGGCGTCTCACTTTATCCGAGACTTTCAGTCAGTCGATCAAGGTTTTCTCCGCGGAATATATTCGAACAAGAACTAGAAGACAATCACATCCATGCGTGAAGTAGGTATGGATAACCACAAATAGATTGTTACAATTTCCTACTGCTAAGATTAAGACTTTGCCCAAAATTACAGGTTCATTAAACTACTTTCATTTACATCGTTAGGTACCTAGTATAAACTTGATCAAAATAGGGACTTATATACCCCTTAAAGCTATTTTGCTCCCTCGATAATTAGGCTAGGTTAGGAGTGGTATTATGCACTTGAGCCAAGCCGCAATGCCAGATTAACGTAGGAAATCTCTTAACCGTTGAGTACATCTTGTCGATTTCGGGATCATTAGGGATAAATAGTCCGGCTTGTCTTTCATTCTAGTTAATTATATCTGTTGCAGTTTGTAACGTTAAATTATCTACCTACCTGCCCACTTGTAGGCACCCAAGTGATGAGTCCAAGTTCTGTCTAGTTACGACCCATCTACGTATTGGCTATAAAGTGCTAGAGAGATTTCCGCCGGAGATAGTGTTCCCCCGTCAGCGTAATATTGCCCGTTAGATAGATAGAATAAAACAGATATCGGGACTAATTTGTGTGACACATATTCATGAGACCCTCTAACGTAGTGCCAGAATCCGAGACCTCTTGGGGGAAGCGTTTTAGTACGACGCGCCACAATAATATACAGGATGTCGATTATGTCATTGTTTTGGATGACGAGCATGTCCTCAACATTAGAGTTAGTTGTTTTTGATTCATATCCCGAGTCTCGGCCCGTCGGGGTGTGACATCTGATGGTAATGGAATGGTAGCGTATAGCCTACATCTTCTCGAGAAAGGCATGTGGTGACTTCATAATTCTGGATGGGTACGATTCCTACGCGTCCTATGTTTTGTATTGCTATGGTACGCGACGTAGCCTTGTATTAGGTGGGTTTTAACGCTGCCACTCTCGTGGCTACGACAGAACTAAGTAGACGCAAGTCATGATTAATGTTATTGGTAATAATATTGATATCAGAGATCCGAGTGCCCACCCTTTACTACAATCCACCTAACGGTTGGTTGGTTTCAGGAGAGGATATATGTGGTATAGCCCAGCTTCCTAGAGCTTTAGCTCTGATTTGAACAACACGGCAGTAATGTCGTAAGCCCACACCTCTAATAAGTTTATAGTACTTGTCGTTGCACCCCGGCGGCAGAATAATCAAGGCCAATGCTTGCACCCCCTTTTCTGCTAGGAATATCATTTCTAAGACTCACACGTACAACACCTATGATGTGGAGACGTTAAGCTGCATCTCTATGTACCTTCAAGCGCTATGATGTGAAAACTGTTAAATTTATCACTTGTTGGGATGATAATACTGTGCTAATAGGATAACGAAGTTTCATCCATATCCATATCTCATCCTACCACTCCACCCGGACCCAGTTAACAACTGAGGCAGTCTTTAGGTATCGTAGCAAATCCCGGCGATGTACCAACACCGGTATCGAGCATAATGTGCGCAACGACATTTATCTCCTTAGCGCTATAACCCGTGGGGTACCTTGTGTCTAAGGTATATCCTCGACGTATAGGCACGTTTCAGAGAAAGCAATATGGGTCCGGGATATTCGGCAGTGGATGGTGGTACATACTTACTCCCGTCTTTATCCTCGTTACCCATCTATGTACGTTGGTAATGGTACTTGGGCTGGGCTGGTTTGTGTAGCATAGTCGTCGGGTCCCCATTTTGGCTGTAATAGTCATACCGCATGAATTACATATGTCAACTATAAAAATAAGTTGGATAACTGGACACTAGGTGTTACGTAGCTATCTGAATTGTACTACAGTAGTCTGCTACCATACAGTCCGTTAGTGATAGCCAAATAAGAGAGGAACTAAGGTCAAGATTACCTAGGAATACGAGAAACGGAATGCTTCTAATCCGAATAGTAGTACTGACAAATGGGCCAAGTGATAGATATGAATAGAAAGTGACCGCAATTTCAAATAATCTGATGGTAACGTACCTTCGGTTCCGAACTAATCTCCGTATGGAAAAGTTTGCTAAAGGAGAGGGGTCCATGTTGTTGGGCAGCGGAGCATCGACGTTGTACACTAGTCATCGTACTTCCATCTTGGTACATTCATAGCCAAGGTAGTACGTACGCGGAGTTTAGATCTTTGATTAACATGTTGCTCGGAGGCCAGACATTTTACGAAGAAACGTACAGTTGCTGTATTCTCCAGATATGAAGGACCAAGCAAAAAGAACAATCCTACAAGTTTAACAAAGTCCGCAATTATCTAGAAGCTGCGTCTACACACAATCCATGGCGGTGATAAAATTAATCTTTATTTGTATCTGTTGGGGTCTTTGAACAAAAGCGGTTGGTAGCCCCTTCGTGTTCTTTCAATGTACCTCCTATGGTATCTAGGAATCTGATAATCTTAGAATATCAGAGCCCTACGGAGTTGCTAATGCTGGGGCCGAACCAGAGGTCCGGGTCAAGCTCCAACTCACTCACTGCCTCGTTCCAACTTATCCGAGAATCACCTCTCGAGGACAAAGCACAGCTAAGTACAGGTATATGGTTGGCTGCGTCGTAGACGCCCAAACATTTAGGTAACTTCATTATTACCTATCCATCTAGCTGGGTAAGCTACTGCAGAGCAACGTGGTCCCGATTAGTACCTCAATATCAGTTCTATCTAAGGGGGGCTCATGTACGCCCCAAAAACCAAAATGGCCGGCTATGTACGCACAGTACTTGGACCCCTTTTTTTTGTCCTGTGGTCCTCCTAGCGCATCGTTATGCTGCGAGGCTGTAATCTCAAAAGGGTACATAGGTCCCTGCTTTCGACTCGGAGTGATCCTCACAAGATCGGCCTGTGGCTGACATGTTCCGCTCACTCTCCTCGCGGAGAAGCTCATTTCCGGTGTTTTACTTGGGGAGGCGCCAGTGAGACGCCAGTGCCAGCCATATTTCCATCCATACGGAACTGTTGAAGACCAGGCGTTTTTTCTTCAGACTTTGATTGATTCAATATAACCTGAGTCGTTTATGTCAGTATGCCCGACTGACGTGATGTGCATAGTCACCTTTTGACGGCTCATCTCTGGGGAATGCGATAAGTCGGTGATCGCTAGAGTGGACTTATGCAGACGCATGTTGGTCGGTGTCTGGCAGCAGGGCCTGGTCTGGTACTACCCTCGACTTTAAATATATCCCATACCATGCAGTTGGTGGTGGCAAAGTTGGTGTTCCCTCATACCCCCGTGGCCAATCGTATAGGTGGTCAACCACTACGTGACTACTTTCTCATGCGCATCATAGGCATGTAGTTACTTCACACAATCGATTCAGATTGAGGCTGTGTTTACCCTCCCTAGATGTCCCCGGCATGGAAGTCCCACCAAGTATGCTGGCATATTTACATAGCAATGAGAATAGGAGATTAGGTGCATTAGGTTAGGTTAGGTAGATATTAGTGTATTCGATATTGGATGATATTACACCTGAGGCATCGTTCAGGGCCTTATGCACTTAGTTCAAGATATAGTCGTGAAAGAGTAATCAAATCGATTTAATTGAGGAGTTATTGTCAATTCGGAGCTTAT